ACAACACAGTGATAAGTGTAACGTGCTTCCAAAAAGGGCTACCAGACCAAGAGTGGCTCAAGAACACATCCAACTCATCGACAGGCTTAGATAGATCAAAAGTCTCGTCCGAACCTTCCGCGCCTCGAAACAAACTCCAGTTTCGACTGATTTTACGCATCTCAACACCTCTCAGCGTCGTGAGCTCCGGACCGTAGGTTGATGTTGAATCGGCGTGATAGCCCACGTATTGCTTTATACTATCCTTGGAATTCATACAAAAGACTCAACAGATAACACCTACGAAAATCCAGCCTTGACAGTGTATACAATACACAGCGGATACAGTCTCATAGGATCCCCACACCCGCAATCTATCCAACTGTGGCAAAGAAGTACTGATTACATTAACCCAAATTTCCATGCGGGATATTGCGGACGTGGTAGTTCAGACGATACCGTATATGCAGGAATGTACAGTGCACATTGTACACTATACGAAACACCTTCACTGTATGTAGCGGATATGGAAGTGCGAAGACAAGGATGGTCATGAATCATAACAAACCATAGGTGCTTCTTAATTCTACTAAACCCCAACGCTAGCCGGAATAAGTCGACAGGCTCACAAATCTGCGACAACTGGAATTGACTCAAACGACTGCGCATCAGCCAACAGCGTGATGATGAAGTCAGAACGAAACTGTGGAGCTTCCTCAATTGGAAACAATGCACTATTGGCTTTTGTCGAGCAGTGTAGCTTTCGTGATGATTTTCGGCCTTCATTTACAAGCGAACTCTCCCAGTGAGAGACTCTCACGTTAACTCCGCCTCAAGACTGAGTTTGGATCACTCTCGAGCAGCCCAAACCCTGGGGGGGCCCCGAATTCGATTCGCTCGTGCAATACACCCCTCCACATATTCTTAGCATAACCGCTTTTTCGACTCGTGCACAGCCACCACAACGAGTATCACCTTGCGGCTCAGGGAGGTATGTACTTATGCTTTACCTGATATGACCTCCAAGTGTCAGGGCCTAACTCTTAGTTAGTGAGAAGTCGGAGACCGGTAAAACGTTTTCTCCACATATTCTTAGCATACACGTGTTAAAATTGCGCCTCAAAATGCCAACTTTTACTCGGGGAGTATATCTATAACTGCGCTCCTGATCTAATGCTATACATCAACAAGAAAATCGTTCATAATGGTATCCTTCCATGTTTCACTTTCATATTTGGAGGCATCCAGCCAAAACTGAGCAATGCAGCTGCCAACCGCCTAGTGGTTGACGACGACGGCTTTATGTACCTCATCACTACATATTACGGTGTACGAGGACCGAAGAGGGCACGGCCCGTACTCCCCTTCAGGAAGCCCAACGATGAGACCGCGCCACACCTCAAGGCCTGTCCTGTTCGACAGGATCCATCGAATTCTATTCTCGTCGCTACAAGAGGGTATGGCACTTTGAAGTTGATGGATGTTCCGGATGCATTCTTCTGCATCCAAACGGGGCCCAACTTATGACAAATAATGACGGTATTAATTGATGGCCAACGACTCTACTTCCGCCGGAAGCCCCGAGAGACGCTCCATAAATACTCCACGACGTGGAGCCACGTCACATCACCATCTCACGTGACGGGCGATAGCCGTAAGCTCGGCTTTTCTTCGAACTATCTTTTCCAACCAACACAACTCTACTGTCATGACCGTCAAAGCTACGACGACCACAGTCCAACACGACTCAACAACATGTAACATGTTGCATGTTCATACATTCATTGCACTTCAATGAAGTTCACTCACATCGCTATTCCATCTTGAAGGGTATTTCTGTCCTCACACGGCCTTGCAGTGTACTAGCTGTTGATTGGGGGTCGCTTTGCCAACGTAAAGGTGACTTCGAATGAGAATAGGGGGGAGGTGCATAGATAAGGAGACTCTCAAAGAGTCGTTAATAAAAATAGAGCTTGATGTGAGGCCCCTACAGTAAGTACTGGAACACGTGATGGGACGACATGGTGGTGATAGTCCCGCAGGAACAACGTGAGATCCTGCACGCATATACAGAATATCATTACAACAAGTACCAGCTTTAGAGGAAACATTACGTTATTTAATAACGTACTCAAACCAGTTATTGGGTGGAATCGGCCGCCCATTTCACACTGATCTAAGAAAGAGGCTTCGTCTGAAAGCCGCTGTCCACTGGCTTGCCCCCTGCTAGACGATCAATAGTGTTGGCATAAGGTGAACTTCTTCTAAATCATCGATGTTTCTCATCTGCTTCGTCGCATTCCTGCTGATCCATTGGGCGCGCGGTTGGATGGTCTACAATCCACCAAAAGGTATTTGCTAACTATCCTCAGTACTGAGCTCGCCTCGTGGCATCAATTCATGGCGGATCATCCACGACATATATTGTCCCGTCCCTCTCCTCAGCTCCATTTGAGAAGGCCGAGCCACTCCAAGCGCAGCAACACCAGAGTGGACTCAGCAGCACAGGTTTCCTAGCTCGTGGCGACTCCCTCTGCGACCCGAGTGTTAAGCAAATATATGGCTATATCAGTGGTAGCCAGGGAAGAAGGTGAACATTTACTGATCCTTCTTGGCGTGTATGTGAGGTGTGATCAGACTATTCTTCTGGTTCTTCGAGTCTCGTTCTGATCCAGCCCAGGACCCGCTCGTCCTATGGCTTAATGGTGGCCCTGGCTGCAGCAGCATGACAGGACTCTTCCACGAGAATGGACCATGCAAGGCTAATGATGATGGAACGGATACCGAGCTCAACCCGTAAGAATAATCCTTCATCAGTGATGACGTACTGGACGTTCGACATGAGGTATTCTTGGAATACGCGAGCCAATCTCCTCTTCGTTGACCAGCCTGCAGGAGCAGGATTCGCTGACGGACCACTCGTGACGAATGGCTCCTTCGAGGCAGCTGACGACTTGTAGGTCGAAGATGTCTACTGTATGAACCGTGTATATATCAGTTGGATTTTCCAACTGATATCTACGCGATTCAGCTTGGAAGGTACATGGCCCTACAAGAGTTCTTTGCTAAACATCAGCAATATAGAGATAAGGACTTCTACATTACCGGGGAGTCGTATGCTGGTAACTCTATTGTGAGGCGGTGTGCCGGGACGTCAATCGAACATTCAGGTCATTACATACCCGCCATAGCTCATAAAATATGGCGAGAAAATACTCGAGGGACCGAACCTAATATTAACCTCCGTGGACTAGCCATCGGGAATGGATGGATGAATGCTGCACTCCAGTAGGCGGCGCCCCTATCGTGAAGATATCATATGTCGTATTGCTCCCTCCAGAGTTCTCGATTACCCCCATATGGCCTTCGAAAGCTGTACTGCTCCCCACATCGCCACCTACAAAGAGTACGATTAAAGAGTTTATATCAACGGCAGTTTGACTGGATCATTAATCAGATACGTGGCGCAGACTGGAGCAGCATGGCAATGCTCGAGTGAAATAAGAAAGTGTCTGTCAGGCTCCCGTAGGAAAGGGTTCTCCGGAGAGAGGGATCTCTCATGTCAGGCTCTTCCTGTGGGTATGCTGAAGCTTGTATCGATGATCCCGCTGTATTTGCCCCCTTGTTCAGACGAGGCATCGACGTGTATGCCGTTGTTCACGAGACCGGGTGATCGGCCATATTTCAGATACGACATGAGGATTACTCACACGGATGGTAACTCAGATGGACTAGACTTCAGCGTGAGTTATTACCAGACATGAATCATTGCCGATGAATGCGATGGCATCAGTTGTAACTCAGCCTCTTGAAAAATTTGACTCAGTTCGTAAAGTATCTGAACAGGAGGGATGTGCAGAGGAAGCTTGGAGTAAACAAGAGATTCGAGACTTGCTCTAAAGTGAGCGTCATGTATGTGGCACCTCACGTTCAGTGATTGAGTTAGGCGGGGGACTTCGGTATTGATACGATCATGCCATTCGAGACACTTCTACCCGAAGTACTTGATGCCGGAGTCAGAGTGAGTCCCACGCAATGTCACGTTTTGAGTGCTTGCCGAGTGTTTGACTTGAATTATTCAAATTGAAAGTGCGATATACAAAGAGTGTAGTAGGTTACTACTAGTAGCATCTAACTTGTCGTCTTGTGGTGCGTGAGTGACTGTTCAAAAGTCACTGTTGGCTTTACTGTATGGATAGTTTAGGGCCTGAACTTGAGGCTCTTCGAAATACTTCTGTCGGATAACTAGTTCGTTCCCGAAACCGTGAATTCCGTCGGCATGAGTGAAGTTGGTCCCATTGGTGCCTTCAATTTGTTGCCTCTAGGAAAACCGTCGTCGTCTTTTGGAACTATCATTTCATTATGCTGCCAGTACGCTACTATGATTTATTTATGACAAGTTCATCGTTTGAGCTGAGCTCAATAAGCTCTACATGACTCTCTAAGGTTCTTTTGTATGACGGAGATCAAGATTTCATCTGTAACTGGATTGGCTACGAGCACGTGGCGGATGCGATGGAGTGGCCGGGCCGTCAGTCTTTCATCAACGCTCCCCGCTATGAGTATGAGGTGAGTCTATTGCCAAACCAACGTTCCG